GAGAAAAGAAGGATAGAAAGAAAAATTCGTCACAGAAAATTCAAGGTATCGTGTCGAAAGTTATCTCGTCGAACGTTCTATATATATAATTGTCGTCGTCTTCGTTATTGTTATTACGACGAACGATGTTGTCGATCGTTTCGATCTAAAAGAATATCGATAAAAAAAAAAAAAATGTGTAGAGCATTAATTGCTCTCGAGATTTTAATAAAACGACGTTCGAATTAACACTCGAAGCGAAAACGATGATGGAAACGATGATGATTTAACGTTTATTAATTTCGATGGTTTATTCTGCCGTTAATAATGTTAACGTACAAGAACTAGAAAATTAAAGTTAAAAAGATCGTGAGAAAAATTTAACAGATAATTAAATAACAATAAATAATATGGAAAATCATTGAGTTCATATACATACACACATACACACACATATATATAAATACATATACGTATAATGTATATGTCATTTTGAAAAATGTAATACGAAGGACCGATGAGCATAATGATCGATGATACGTTGAATTAAACAATAAGAGTTTATACTTAGATGTTTATGTAAATATAAACATTTTATTATTATCGTTTTTTGATTTAATTTGCGAGACATATCGAGAACACATAACTAGTAGCCTCGGGTAGATCGATCGAAGAGATCGTAGAGACAAGACAAGCAGGAAGCAGAGGGTACCATCATCTTCTCCTCGGGAGCGAATTATCTCCTAGTTCGATGGACCCGTCTGTCAACGTTACATTACGATCGTTACGAAACGATAAAAGTTTTCTTGGTAAAAGAAAAAAGAGAGAGAAAGTCTATAGTTGTATATGTGTGTGTATGTATACCTATATACCATTCAACGTCATACCTAACATCGGACTGCGAGAAAATGAAATATTCTCCTCTCCTTCTTCGTGAAGATATTCTCTCTCTATCTCTCTCTCTTTTCTTTTTCTTTTTTACTCTTTTTTTTTACTCTCTTTTGTTTTTTACTTTTATCCTTTTTCATAGGAAGGGAAAGACGTTGGTGAAGTTAAGAAAATCCACTTGACCTTCTCTCTCTCTCTCTCTCTCTCTCTCTCTCTTTTTCTCACATCAAAAGTTTTTATCTTTCACGATATATTCTTCGTTAAAATCTCACGAGGCTCTCGATTAACTCGACGATGAAGGTAAAGGATCGAAAAATTTTGACTTCCCCGGTTGGTTCGAATTATACCGTTGGATACTTTCTACTTGTAAGAAGAATATAGTTCGATGATGAAATGAAAAGAAAAAAAAGAGAGAAAGAAAAAAAAGAGAGAGAGAGAGAGAGAGAGAGAGAAGAGGCTAGTTACGAAAGATTTTCGACAAAAGGCTCGTTGAAAAATTCGATGAGTTTTCCAGTTCTTCCTCTAAGTGGCCAGATCTCCCTTAACTCCACCCCCTCCTCCTTCCACTATCCTCCACGATTCCCTTCGTTTCTATACCCCTGATCAAAACTTTGTCCTTGAAGTTTTCTCACGGTCCATTGATTGCCATTCGTAAAGTATAGCATTTTCTCTCTCTCTCTCTCTCTCTCTCTCTCTCTCTCTCGCACGTATGTATGAACGAGAAAGTAAAGACCATTCGCGTCCCATTGTTTGTTCCTTTTGATTGATCCTTAATTAACTACTTTAGAGTTAACAATTTTTACCGCTTGCCGTCGCTAACTTTAATTAATTTCTCTTTTATTTCCTTTTGTTTTCTTTTCTTATCTTATCTTCCTTTCCTTTCCTTTTTCCTTTCCTTTCTATTCAATTTCTTTCCTTTCTCTCTGTTTTCCACGTTTTCGCGCTACTTCCTTTTTTCCCTCCTCCACCCCATTCCATCCCTTCGAAATTATAATTCCATTCGACTATATTATCGGTTATTAATTGACTATTCATTATCTCGTTCTTTCTCGTTCTCTCTTTATCTCTCAGTCGTTCTTTTTATAGATTTAGTTTATAGAAGAAAAAGGAGAATAGATAAAAAAGAAAAAAAAGAAAAAAAAGAAAAGAAAGAATCATTGCCGAGGGATTATTTTCAAAATCTGAACGGTTAGTTCCACTTTACGAAACGACACGATCGACCTGAATTCGTTGGATTTATTTTTTTCTTCTCTCTCTTTCTCTCTCTCTCTCTCTATTTTTTTTTTTCGAACGATTATGTCCAACGATGCGATATCACGTTGCTGCTAATCGTGTATTAACCCGCGAAGATTAAAGCGAGCGTTTGCAATGAACGTACGTGATCGGATCGATCTTGGAACTAGGACTCGATTAATACACGTATACTATATATATACGTATATATACATATATAATATATATAATATATATATATATATAATAGTGCTCTATATATATATATATATATATATATATATATATACATATCTAGAGCATTGTAGAGAGACATGTATATACGTATACATAAATGTATAACAAAGTGGACAATTATTTTTTGCGTTCAAAATTTAATTCGTTATTAATATATTTATATATTATATATTATATTATTTATATATATATATTATTTATATATATATATATATGTGTGTGTGTGTGTGTGTGTGTGTGTGTGTGTATGTGTGTCATTAAAACGTTGATATCTTTGCCTTTGTGATAATGCCTGTGCAATACCGAATAGATTTACCATAGAAAATCGAAAATGTTTTCACGGTGGTTTATGCCAATCGGAAAAGTCATCCTTTACCTGTTCTCTCTTTATCTCTCTCTCTCTCTTTCTTTTTCTCTTTCTCTCTCTCTTTCTCTCTCTCTCTCTCTCTCTCTCTCTCTCTCTCTCTCTTGAAATTTGACACTCGAGAAACATTCACACGATATCGGACTGTTCTACGATACGAAACCATATCTACTCGTTGTTAGTCGATTAGTTTGTTCTACCCCAATATGGATATTTCATACTAATTTGTACCGTATATGTTTCGTGTCCGTTCATTCGTTCGTTCGTACGTTCAAATATCTCGTGAATTAGTTCGAAAGCTATACGATAAAATTTATGAAATTTTTACCTATGGTATTTTGTTTCCTCTATCCATTCTCAATATCATCAGTCACCCAACCTCACTTATCATCAGTCCAATAGAAAATATTGTCGTTGACAAAATTTTTTATCGCGCAAATATAATATACGTATAGCCCCATAACGTGGTATCGCCGAAAAAAAATTTTTCTCCGATCGCGTTATTTTGGTAAAAAAAAAAAAAAAATAAAAAAAAGAAGAAAAAAGGAAAAAAGACAGAAAGAAAATAATAATAAAAAAAATAAAAATAACAAATAAAACTTATTTTTTCGTTTTTGCAATTCAATCGACGCCTATTTCAATGCTAATTATTATTACTATATTTTTTTACCTGATGTCCTATGGCGCCCATGATACCGAATCAGATTTTCTCTCATAAATGCAAAATTTTCATAAAGAATGCCACAAAAACGATCCCTTTTTGCCGTTCATCATCGATTTCTATTCTCGTTGGGTAAGAGAGAGAGCAAGAGAGATAAAAAGAGAGAGATAGAGAGATAGAGAGATTATTAGTACTAATCATCGTGTCATTCTTGGCATTCAAACATTTCCTATTTAATTCTCATCTCCTCCTCCTCATCCTCCTGCACTCCCTCCCCCTCCCGGACTCACACGGTCCCCTCTTATTCAACGATTATTCGTATCCGCTAACAGGATTAAAATGTTAATCGTCTTATGAAATTTCACGTTGCATAAGTCTAACTAGGATTTATGATCTATATTAATCTAAAACGTCTTTCTGAATAACACCGAATTAATAATTTGAATCTTTTACAAATACGTACAATATATATATATATATATATATATATTGTTATCTTTGTAAATTTGAAATTATAGATAAGTAATTGATTATTAATAAAATTGACGTAGTTGAATATTAATGAAGAAAGAAAAAGTAAAAAAAAAAAGAAAATCGACGGCAAGCTTTATTATTTAACAAATCAAATAGAATAAGTCTCTCTCTCTCTCTCTCTCTCTTCCTCTTCCTCTTCCTCTTTCTTTTTCTTTACTCGAGAAAATCTACATTCCTGTTTTTGTCCTTAAAATTTGGTTTCTACTTGGAGCTCGGCTTTTAGAGAACGGTAAAAAGTTCAATATCGAGCTCGAAAACCTTAGTGAAGTGAATCCTAAAGGATGTTCGCGCACGTGCACGTGCACCACCATCACCAGCGACTTTTACCGTGATCGCGAAGTAAACCCCACTATGTTGCATTGACTTTCGAGTAGAGAAGCGAGAAACGAGAAACGAGAGGGAGAATCCAAGTTCTCTACTATTCTTCCCCTTTACTCTACTATTCCTCTCGCAACCCTGACTCGTCCATCCCTCATCCCCTCCATTTCTCCACCCCTCGAATTCTCCATCTCTCATTCCCCTTTGAAAAAAAAAAAAAAGGGAACTCTACGATTGAGCTCAACTAAGAGTAACTTTTTGACTTGGTTCAAACTTCGTCGCACATTTGGGAATTGTTTGTACGAAGAAAAAGCTTTTCATCAATTTCTTTGATATCTAATGAAATCAATGGATAACGAATGAATCGGTCGTCGAATTAAAGGGGAAAAAACTATATGATCTTAAGGAAAGTAAATGATAGTAGAGAAATTATAATAAAGTTAATGTGTTATATAACAGACAAGTTTTAAGATTCGAAATGGTAAAGAAATTTTTTCTTCTTTTTTACTTCTTTTCTTTTATCTTCTTTCACTTTATCTTAGTTTTTTAATTCTTCTTCTACTTCTTCTTCATTTTTTTTTCCTTTTTTCTTTCGTTTCTTTCTTTCTTTTTTTTCCTTTTTTTTTTTCTTTTTGTTTCGTATCCACCTTCAGAAAAGAAGCCAGTGAGACATTTGTTTTTTTTTTATTTATTTTATTAATTGATCTTTCTCTCTTTCCTCCTCTTCCTCCTTCTCCTCTTGTTCTTCTTCTTTTTTTTATATTTTGTATTCTGTAATTTTTACAGGATACTGCCAGAATGCAGAACCACGTGGATCCTTTGGGAGCAAAAGTATCGCAAGGAGGATGGATCTTCTACGGGACAACGAACATCTCGACGAACGACGATTCAAGTAACTATGTAATGGATTATTGTTATAGTCATGTACGCGACTGGTAAGATCTCTCGATCAGTCATTAAATATGTAACAATAATTTTATTTCCCCTTTCATTTTCTATTCTTTTTCTTTTTTCTTGACGATCAATCGAGCATTGATCCTTTTTGAAAATTGTACTCGTCGATCATTTTTTATCGGTGACTTTTCCTTGCCTTTTAAATCGACTCTCTCTCTCTCTCTCTCTCTCTCTCTTTCTCTCTGTCTCTCTCTCTCATGGGTATGATAATTCGTCGAAGAAAATTATTCGCTAAGAATAATGTTCGTTTTAATTTTCGATTAAATTATTTCAGTTCGTAAGGAGATCGTAACTTTTTACTTCGATCAATGATCTATACGTGATTCGTTTCAAAGAGATAAACGAATAGGAAATATTGCATTGATAAGAGACAATGTCGATAGCCTTTCGAGAGCAAAGTATCATCGGTACTTTCTATTATCAAGTCAGTAAGATTATTAAATGAATTCTTTTAACGTTTCGCACTTATAAAATGTATTTTCATCAATCGATTGGATCATCGAAAGATATTAGAAAACTCGTAAATTCCGTTTATAGAACTTTAATAGAGCTTCATTCTTAGAACTGTTTCAAATATTTTATACGATTATTTCGATCGTCGTATATATATATATATATATATATATATATATATATACCGTAAAGATCCTTGTTTGATTTTGTTGTCGCAAAAACATCCCCCTCTCTCAAGTATTTCGTCGTTAATAGGAAGGAAAATAATTGTGAGAGAGACTCTCGTTCGAACTTATTTTTGTAAAAAGAAAGATAGAAGAAAAAGAGATAAGAGGAAGAGAAAGAGTAAGAAGAAAAGGAAGAAAAGTAAAAACTATTGGACGTCATTGACTATAACGACGACGACGACGACGACGACGACGACGACGACGACGACGGGTGCGTTTCGTCGGCGAAACGATTAAAGATAAATCTAGAAGCTAAGGGTAAGAGCATCGTAGTGGGCAAGTAATAGAGTAAGTAGACGAAGGGAGAAGAACGAGGATGAAGGAGAAGTAAGAGTAGGGAGGAGGGGGAGGGAACGGGAAATAAAAGTGTCGATTTAAGCGGTGGACCGACGTTGTACGCGCTCGAGTGGAACGGCCCAGACTTTGTTGGTCGGTAAAAAGGGAAGAAGAGTGTGGGAGAGAGAGAGAGAGGGAGAGAGAGAAATAAGAGTAAAAAAGGGTAGATGAGAGAGAGAGAGAGAGAGAGAGAGAGAGAGAGGGGGTAAGTTTGAGGAGGAGAGAAAAACGGTAGGCTATGTTGTCCATTAGCTGGGACGTGTCTCTCGATGGGGAGAAGATGCTCGAAGAGGAAACAAGGAGCTTCTCGTCCGAAAGAAAGTCGAAGGATGAGAACGAGGAGGATAAGGATGCTGTGTCTCGGTCCAACGGAGAAAATAAAAACGTCGCTCTTCATCCATCGGAGAGCCGTACGAGAGCTTCCTTCCTTCGACAGACACTGAATACGAGTGAGTAAAGTTGTTTCTCTCTTTCTCTCTCTTTCTCTCTCTCTCTCTTTCTGTCTGTCTTTTTTCCTCCCTTTTATTCTTTTTTTACTTCATCGTTTTTCCTTCCTTTCTTTCTCTTTTCGTTTCCTTTCTTTTCTCTTTTCCTTTTTCCCTTCTTCTTTCCACCTCCATCTCCTCCTCCTCCTCCTCCTCCTCCTCCTTCTGTTTTTCTCGTCCAATTTCTTGGAGAGTATTCTTCTTTTTTTTCTCTTTCTCTTTATCTTTTTCCTTTCTTCTTCTTCTTCTTCTTTTTTTTTATCAATCGAAATGAACTCTCGTTCGTCGCGTAATCGTTATCTCTTCGCGTTATCTTCGACGTTTTTCTCTCTTTCTTTTTTCTTTTTTTTTTTCTTGAAATTTCTTTTCTTCTCTCTCTCTCTCTCTCTCTCTCTCTCTCTCTCTCTCTCTCTCTTGGAACATATCTTTAATGACGATTTTAGCTGCTACAACGTCATTGGGCGAACAACGAAGGTCTACGGAAATCGGTGAGATTAACAAAGCCCGTAAGAAAAATCGTCGAACGAAGGATCCAAGAAATAATTCTTCTTATAATATCAACGGTATTACGGATGTACGTGAGAATGAGATAAGAATTGGCGGTGGTAGATCGTCGTTAAATGAAAATAAAGAAAATGTTAATATGGATCAAATGTCGAAAAAGTCGAAATACTCGCAAGCGAGAAAGTTACGTGGTGAACGACGAAGAAGACGTAAGAATAGGGATAGAAAAAGGGGTAGAAAGAGGTCAAGGCAAAATGAGGATAGAAAGACCGACGACGAGAGAAGGCGTGCTTCGAAGTTTAAAAAACGAACGGAAAATGAAGAAGAGGGATCCGAACGATCCTTCGGCGATTCTTCGAACATAGGTTTGACGTACGGGGAAAAGAACGTCAGCATTTTTCGACAGGATTCAAGCAATTTCGATAGTTTAGATTCGAGCACTGGCACCGGTGCTCCGTCCAATCTTCGAGCTCCATCGATTACAACGACAACTACGACGACGAATGCGAACGATAGAAAGAGTTTGCCTCAAGTACCACCACGGCGGGACTTGTACGTTGAAAACGTCGAGAGAGAACTTTCTAAACAATTGGAAAAGGAGATCGCTAGATCTGGTATGTGCTTGATTGTAGTTGAGAATACTTTTTTTTCCTTTCTTTCCTTTTTTTTTTTTCTTTTTCTTCTTCGATCTTCTTCTCTTTTTTCTTCATTTTTATCACTCTTATTCCACTTTCTTTTCTCTCACTTAACCATTTGCGGTGTAAAAACGTGCCACGCACGTCGAGATGTTTAACACGTTGTCAGGCGATTGTTGCAGAAAGAAAAAAAATAAAAAAATTAACAGTGACACGTCAATCGTTAATGACATTTTTTACCGAGGCACAGTTTCTGTTTGCGCTTTATCGTGGAAAATTATCAGTATCAATTCTCAAACTGTAAAATGAAAAGTGACAGTGACAAAAAAGTGACAGTGATATTATTTGCGCCTCGAAGTGATTTGCCTTTCGAGTGTTCTGGCACGTGCAATCGTAAATTTCTTTGCATCGCAACTGGTTAAAAACTCTCGCTTATCAATCATCAAAGATTCTTTTTTCGTTCCTTTATAAATTATAATCAACGACAGGTATGATAAATTTGAGTAATCGAGTTCTACTAACTGGTTCTACGACACATCGAGATGTTACGTCGTACGACGATGAGAAGAACAAATTATCGAATGAGATTACGATCGACGATAGAGCGAGATTCGGTAATTCGCGTTATGACGCCGATAAAATGTTGGGTTATTCGCGTACCGAGGAGGATCTACCGATTCTCGATCTTGAAAATGAAGTACTCGAAAGAACGATGAAGGATTATAACGCTTATATGACGTCAAGCTTGAAGTTACGTCAGGATAGGCCAAAATTTACCTCTACATCACGTTTCCACGATCAACCAATCGTATCTTTAATCACGAGTACAACCACTACTACCAGAAGTACGACGACTACTACGACTACTAATACCTTAGACGAGGATAATCCAAAAGGCGACTTATCATGCATAAACGGAACTTTCTTGCCGGCACCGCTAGCTAGGCATGCTCTTATCAAATATGTAAAGTGAGTAAATAGATTTATTATAAATTATTTGATTTTTTATTGTTCGATAACACACACACACACACACACACATACATATAAGATAAGAAAAATTAACAATGATTATTAGATCGAATTAAATTACAATCGATTTAGAGTTGCAATAATATTTTGACGCATATAAGAAACACGTTCAGTAAGTATTGCGACGGATCGCAATGAAAATGTATTCGAGAGTGGAATCACAAGTGAAAATTGAATTACTTTTAATACCATACACCGTGTATGAGTATGTGTGTGTGTGTGTCTTTGTATATATATATATATATATATATATGAAAGCTTTGAATCCAACCGTGCAAGCAGCTTTTCCGAACGCGTGAGGGATTTTCTACGGTGTTTATGGGATTGCTATATAAAATTGGCACTCTCCTGCACAGTAATCCTCTTTCCTTTCATCTTACCTGAACAAACACCTTTTCTCACTTCCCATTTGAAAACTAGTACTCGTTTACGTTCGTCGTCCATATCCGTACGAAATGATCATCCTTTCTCAGGTTTAAACCAAACGGGAATATAATCGGATATCTTTCGATTTTTACTTTCTCTGTTCTATTTTTTCTTTTTTCTTTTTTTTTTTTTTTCTTTTTTTTTTACTTTGTTCTCCTAATACTCATACGAAATCCTACGATCTCTCGTAATTTTTGATTTTATTTAAAAAAATCACTAGTATATCTCGCAAGAGTCCTTTGAAATCCAGTATCTAGTTTTTATATACAAAGGTGTTATGTATATATATATATATATATATATATATATATATATATATATATATATATATAGATATTCCTTTAAAACGAATTCGAAATCGAGTTTTATCTTCGTTCTCGAATATCGTTGAAGAATCAAGATACGATATTATCTCCTAGTGAAATTCCAAGATCTTATCGTATCGTATCGAGGATCTATCGAGATCCTTTTAATTGATACGTTTTCATCGATGAAAATCATTCGAAATACTCTCGAGAATATGGAAAACGATATCGAGGAGCGATCCCCTCTCGTTCGAATTCAACAATGCGTTTGCCTGTCCGACGTATTTTAATTGTTCTTGCTGGAAATTAATGAGAAACAAAAAAAGAAAAAAAAGAAAAAAGAGAGAAAACAAGAAGAATTAAGAGGAAGAAGATAGCGAAGAAAAATGAAATGAAATGAAAATCAAAAAAAAAAAAAAAACAAAAAACAGAAGAATTAAGAAAAAGAGAATAATTACTTTCATTTAAATCGTAGCTCATTTCGTTGCATTATCTTTCTTCTCTCTCTCTCTCTCTCTCTCTCTCTCTCTTTCTTTCTTTTTGTCCTTTTCCTTATCGCAAATGACATTTGCGAATATCATTTGCGTGTTCCTTGTTATAGATCCTCAATACCGGGACACGAGTATCTCGAAGCCGATTACGAGTGTGCACCTGGGTTTTATATGGTATCGACCGGAAGTCGATTGCTTTGCAGAAATCGTCAATGGATCGGACAAGTACCAAAATGTAAACTGAAACAAGGAACGGACGGTGTATGCTCAGAAGTCTCATGCGAACATGTTTGTAAGGAAATCGATGGTAGAGCCGTTTGTTCTTGTTACAATGGTTTCCGATTGGATGCATACAAATGCATAGGTGAGAGATAAACTTTTATTTAATTCGTTTTTTCTTCTTTTTAATTGAATACGAAGAATCTCATTATTCAGAATTATAATATTATTTAATGTAAATAATACGTAGATTTTTTTCACTCATTTACTCTTACGCGATACGTTTTTGAAAAATTGTAATAACGACGATAACTTTGATAAAATTGTTTTTCTGTTTTTTTTTTTTTTGTTTTCTTTTTCTTTTTTTTTTCTTTCCTTTTTTTTCGTCGATATCGATATTATTTGCCGATAAATCATAATTCACGATATTAATCCAACGTTGTCGACGTGCACGAATACATACATACATAAATACATACCGCAAATTGAATTTAGGTGCGGCCATTACTTTACGTTCCACACAATCGTCGACATGTATAATTACATATATATATATATATATATATATATATGTTTACATATATATACAAACATATATATACATATATATATGTTTACATATATATATAAACATATATATTTTACATTTACTTGCAATTAAATTTTGCCGCGTTGAACAAACCGCATGAGTGCTTTCAATTAATTTCTCCTGTTTTTTCTCTCTTTCTGTTGTTTTTCTTTTTTTTTTGTTTTTTTTTTTTGTTTTTTGTTATTACTATTATTGTCGTCATCATTATTATTCTTCTCTTTCTCTCTCTCTCTCTCTCTCTCTCTGTCTGTTTTTTTTATATATTCTTTTGTTATCTATAATACCCGCGTGTTTTTCGTCATATTCTTTATGAACCTCAATGTCGTCCGAGTAAATAAAAAAAAGTAATTTACGCACGAAAAAAGCTTTCGAGATATTAATAATAATAATAATAATAATAATAATAATAATAATAATAATAATAATAATAAAAAAGAAAAAAAAGAAATAATCGAATAAAACAATATTTACATTAAAATGATTTGGATTAATGTTTAAAATGCGAACGTGCGTCAAGGAGAAATGGATAATGAAGGAAAAGAGAAAAATGAAGAAATAAATAAATAAATAAAAAGATAAAAAGAAAAAGGAAATAAAGTGTGTTAAACGAAAGCAAAAGGGACGAAGGAAAAAGAGAAAGAAGAGGAAACAAAAAAAAAAAGAGAAGAAGAAAAAAAAAAAGAAGAAAGTATAAACGTTTAATTGCTTCGTGACAATATAACTGGTGTGTAAAATCACGTATATCCTGTTGTGTCCGTGGTCGCTTGATTTTTCTTTTTCTCTGTTTTCTCCTTTTGTCTCTCTCTCTTTCTCTCTCTCTGTCTCTCTGTCTCTCTCTCTCTCTTGTTTTTTTTTTTTTCATTCCAACCACAGACGTGAACGAATGCGAGGAGAACAACGGTGGCTGTGAGTACAAATGCGTGAACACTCCTGGATCTTTTCGATGCGAGTGTCCGAAGGGAATGAAACAGGGCGAGGACAGGTTCACGTGCATAGGTGAGCGATTTACGAGCAATCCCGAGCGTCGGAAGTGGTGCTGGGAATTCGATCCGGTCCGTCGGCTCTTTTCAATCAACGCGAACCACCGTGTGATTCTCTCGAATCACCATGGAAAAATCATTTTCAACGACGGATTTTTATTCTCGAATAATAATACTTTTTATTCACGTTAATCCTTAGAGAAATAAAAACAAATGTTCATAAATAAAATTATAAATTAGATATGTACACACACACACACACATATATATATATATATTTTTTTTTTTATATATTTAGAAATTATTAAAAAATATATATATATATGTATATATATATATATGCGTGTGCGTGTGTGTGTATATACATGTAAGTCAAAAAAAAAAAAAAAGGAATCGATATCTTAAAGGCTTATAGTACTAGTTCGAGATAAGTTAAAAACGTTTGATCAAAGTAAATCCTGAAATCAACCCTTTCGATGTAAATTAATTCTTATTATTCATGAGCGTTCGATATAATAAATGAGTTCTTTGACAAACATGTCGAATTAACATATATTTCCATTATTAGATTAGTCATAGTTTTTTGCTTATTTTCCTAATAAACTTATATCGACAATCTCGAACTAATGCATTTCTAATATTTATAATAATATTTCTGGTGTATCCCTAGTGAATTTCTGGTCCTTAAAATAATCGAATCCTTTTTTTTATCACTCTGTATATATATATATATATATATATATATATATATATATATATTTATATACATATTAAAAGAGAATAATTAACTAATAAAACAGTTTATTAATTCGTACGAAAGAAACGACGATTCGATCGTGAAATAATTAAATTTTTTTACAAAAAAAGAAAAGAAAAGAAAAAAAGATATATATGTAAAAAAAAAGTGAAAAAAAAAAAGAATGAAAAAAAAATCTAATTTTCGGATCGATTAAATCAAATTCTCTCGATTCGATCGTTCGAACGTAAAAATATTCATCGATTAAAAATGATAATCACGTTTGTTTTCAATGTCCATTACGTTCGACCAACGTTTTTATTTCTTCTCTTTTTTTTTTTCTCTCTTTCATTTTTTCTTTCTTTTTTATTTTTTCCCACGAATCGGTGAAAAAAAAAAAAATAAAAAAAAAGAAAACCATTATTTCCTTCCTAGTGGATATAGATATATCCGTATTCAAATTTCGATACTATTCTTCGATAACAAATAATGCATTTTCCTCTCTCTATTCGATATTTCGAAAATCTGTAGTTTCATCTAATCGAACGGACAGGTCAACGATCACAATTTTGATTTTTGGTGGACGTAACGCGAACGAATTTTGCCAACGTGCGACACTATTATTGATATCATATATATATAAAATTTTTTCTTTAATACATATATTTTTCGTCCATTTATATAAAGAAAAACCGATGAAATGTCTAACGATTAGTCGAGTAATATAATAAATACGATTTAATAGATCAATTGATTCGATCAAAAAGTACGAAATATATTTATCAAAAGAACGGGAAAAAAAGAACGATCGATTCTCTTTAAAATCGTCGAATAGTAAAGCGATTAAATTCAATAAATTAATTGTGGATTGATGATGTATAGACATCAACGAATGCTTGCTGAACAACGGTCATGGTCCCTGTCAGGACACGTGTCGAAACCTCGTAGGTGGTTACGAATGCTCTTGCGAGGGTATCCAGGACACAGTTCTGTCGGCCGATAACCACACGTGCCAGAACGCGGGTCCATGCAGTGTCAACAACGCCGGATGCTCTCACACTTGTCTCTCGACGATGGGTCGAGTGTTCTGCCTCTGTCCGGACGGCTTCATGCTCGAGGACGACTGGAAGACCTGTCAAGGTAAACCTCATCTCCCTTAAGGGTATACCACTCGCGTTTAATCGCGTTAATTGAATGTCGACGAGGAAATTTGCCTTGGTACCTATAACAAATCCTTTTCAAATTGTACGTTTAAATCGTCTATCTTTATTATTTATTTTTTTTTTTTGACAAAATTAATAAGATTAGATAGTTTTTCTTTTTTTTTTTTTTCATATTATCGATATGGGAGAAAGAGAGAGAGAGAGACAGGAAGAGAAAGAGAGTTTAACGTTAAATGGAATTACATTAAAATGTAATTAGCTTTTTCATATAAATTTAACATATTCTCGAATACATACAAATATATATATATGTTAGAAGATATATTTATATTTATAATATATTATTATATAAATATAGTACATTATAAGGTATACCTATTTATAAGTAATATATTAATTTGTGTTATAAGAGAGATAAAAATATGATTAATATTTATAATATATTACATTATGTAATGAGAATTATTTAAAAGATTATTACGTTCGGGATAATAAAATGTTAATGTATTCCTTTTTTTTGTTTTTTTTTTTTTTTTTTTGATCAGACGTAGACGAATGCGCAGTACCTGATCTACAAACGGAAGTGTGCCGTTATGGATGTATCAACACGCAAGGATCTTACAGATGCGCCGAACCGACAGAACTGAAGGATCAACCGATCGTAGATAGTCTCTCCATCACCTGCCTGCCCGGATACGAGGTGTCCACGGACGGCTCTTGCGTGGGTGAGTAGTACTCGATCCTTACGGTAAATCTATTGGACGTGTTATACGATCCAATTTTCTTTATCGTCTATATGATTAAATCATTTATAAAAGCTTACTTCCTACGAAATTATTTTATGAATTGATATTTAAATTGATCATGACATTTTTGAAAAAAAAAGATATATATATATATATATTATATTATATTATAATAATATATAATATATAATATATAATAATAATAATAATAATAATAATATAATTATTATATTAATATTATAACAATATATAATAATGATATATTATTAATTATTATATATATATATATATATATATATATACATATATTTTGTATATATAATTATACATACATTTATATATACGTACGTATTAATTATCATATATACGTAATGACTTTTATATAAATTAATTAATTAATTAATTAATCATTGACTATGTAATTGTATAATAAATTTCATGATCATTAATTAATACGAATATATATATTTGTCTTTGTATAAAGATTAGAAGATGTTTATATAGTTTTGGAAGACCTTAGACGTGCTTCACGTTGATCGTTTCAGTTTCAAATTGCACTTTCTACCAATGCGGTGCGAAATTTCATAGAGCGTTGTAAGTGTAATACCGAAAGTTGCTCTCAGTACCTGGTACGTTAACTACGGTAGCTCGTTAGCATGTTGTTTAGTTATTTACTCAGTTATTCCACGATATACAGGATTATACAGTTTAATGATAATAGATACCCCTAGGGAAGTTAAACTTTGTCCGCACGGACACAGTCAACCGATTTAGAACCATATAACTGTTAGCCACACGACTATCTTTCCTTATGCATTTTGCAAAGTCGTTCCTTCTTTATTTACATTAATTAAAAGAACAACGAATATCTATTCGTTATAAGTTGAGAAATAAAAATAATTATTATCTTTTTTTCCCGTTTTTTCTTTTTTTTTTTTTTTTTCTTTTCTTTTTTCTTTTCTCTCTTTTGTCTCTCGTTCTTTAAATATTTTTTTTGACAGCTCCCCTCCCCCCCCCCCCGCCCCCTTTTTCTTCTTTCTCTTTTACATTTTTTATCGTTCAATATCATTATCAGGAATGTTGGTAAAACGTAATACAAATTAAAGTGAAAATGATTATGTTGATCCATTGAAATTCGCAGGAATTCGTTTTATATGTTTTCAACCTTAATTAACGTGATTGTAATTTTTCATTAATATATCAATGGGATTTATATTTTATATCTCAAAACAAATACGACGTATGAAAAGGAGTAAATATATTCGGCGTAAATTAAAAAGGGATTTTTCACATAACCCCACTTTCTCCTTTCACATCTCCCTTCCGTTCAACCGGATGTTTGTTTGTTTTATTTCGTTATTCGCAAGAGAAATTCTACTAGGGGGATAGTTGAGTGAGAGCGAGAGAGTGAGAGAAAGAGATCGCTTTTTTCGCTTTTTTTATTTTATCCCTTTTTTCTTTTTTTATTTTTGTTTAGTTTTTTTTTCCTCTTTTTTTTTTTTTTTTTTTTTTTTTTATCAAAACCGCAAATATCACTTTTCGTTATTAAACGTAGTAACTGAAACTGATATAAATATGGTAATAGTCAAAAGCACTTGTCTGTATCGCGTACGAGAGAAGCAATGTAATTTTCGGGTTTAAAGCGTTCAGTTTTAAAAGCCGATGGACGGTGGATAAATTTCGAGCGGGTCGATGGCTACCGGGGGATAACAATTCCCCGTAGGGAGATGAAGGGTCCCCCCTAACGAAATTTCAGAGAGGGTCCTCGTCAAGCCCCTCATCGTAACATCGTACGAGACGTAAATAATCGAATCAGCTCGAACATGGATCCACTTTGTGTAGAGGCTCGCGCGTAACTCCGTGTCGACTATCGACGGTGAATTACAATTGGTGCTATATGATATTATCCTGTCGTCTGATAAAAGATAGAAGAAGTGAAAGAAGAGAAAGAAGAAGAAGAAGAAGAAGAAGAAGAAGAAGAAGAAGAAGAAGAAGAGGAAGAAGAAGAGGAAGAGGAAGAAAATGAAAGAATAATAAAACGAAAACGGAATGGAAAGGAAAAGAAAAGAAAAGAAAAAAAAAGGAAGACGTTTTTAGACATTTTGAACAAAAAAAAAGAAAAAAAAAAAAAAAAGAAAAGATCTTCAAGGGAAAGTAAAAACAATAAAAATAGGATTTTAATTTGATTCATAATCAAATATTACGTTTATTGTCGTACTCGTTATAAATTATAAAGATTTCGATTTATAATTTTACCCGATTAAATAACAATCTTCTATTTTTACTTATCGAGATGTTTTCGTATAAATTTCTTCATTTTCTTTCTTTTTCGATCGCAAAACTAAGAAAAATCTAGGAAATTCGTTCTTTCTTAAAATAACGAAGAATAATATCTAATCGAAAGAGTCTTGAGAAAATGAGTGATCGATTTTTAATCGATTTTCTTTTGTGGAGATTGATTCATCGTTGCATTTAATTTTTATTTTATTTTTTTTTATCCATAATTTGTATTTTATATTTCTCATATCGTATACGTAATATAAATAATATCGTTTAATGAATATATATATATATATATATATATATATATATATATATATATATATATATTTATTCATCGAACTTCATTTAAGGTCTTTCAACGATAGAAAATTTTCGTATGCTCGTAAAGCAACGTTAGGATGTAGATATAACGAGAACTCCGCGGGGATATGAAGGCACTAACGAGATTTTCCTAACGGCCTCGTCCGTACCTACGTAGATCATCCGTGTACTTAATCGAATTAGTTCACACGTGGATCCTGTGCTCGCGGCATGACGACAGCTCGTGTTAGTATCGCGCCTAAATCATTCTGTGCACTCGCACGAACACGATAAAGGACTTGGCCCTTTCGAACAGAACCAATCGTAATTCGAGGATACAATTATCGACGTTATTAAAGTGTCCAAGCGTTCGTACTGAAATCCGATTCATTTATGTCTCTTTCTCTCTCTCTCTCTCTCTCTCTCTCTCTCACTCTGACTTAATTGACATCGTACGTCATTTTCCTCTGAAATTTTCAATCAAAAATAAAATCACTGAGATGAAGAATAATTTGGTCAATGTGTTTGAATAATAATTAGTAATTAATTGAAATGATATTTATGATACGTTAATAAATAATATTGTTTTGTAAAAGTGTAATTTAATTTATAAAGATACATTTTTCGATTGAATCCGTACGATTGATTATTATTAATTTATTTAGAAATGTTAAATATATTAATTTTCACATTGGCGTAATTGAAATTTTACTTCAACTTAACTACATGAAATTATTTTCATTGAATTCAAAATTAATTGACATTCTACGTCAATTTTCCTTTGAAATTTTCGAACAAAAATAAAATCACTTAGATTGAGGATTAATTTGGTTAACGTGTTTGAATAATAATTATTAGTAGTTGTATTAAAATGATATTTGAGATATTGTAATAAATATTATTGTTTTGTGTAAAAGTGTAATTGACCAAGAATGAGATTATATCCGAGGAAACTTTGACAATGAATTCGAACAATTGATTGTAATAATTTATAGAAATGATTAATATATTAATTATCACATAGTGTAATTAAAACTTCATTTGCCCGTAACTGGATGAATTGTCATTATTGAATTCGTCGACCATGATACAATTATCGATGTTATCAGAATATTCACCATTGATGCTGAAGTTCGATCAATTTATGTTTCTGTCTGACTTAACTAACATCATACGCCATTTTCCTCTGAAATATTCGATTAGAAATAAGATCAGTTTGAATGAGGAATAATTCGATTAATTTGTCTGAATAATAATTAGTTGAATTGAATTAAAACGATATTAAAAATATTATCGTAAATATTATTATTTTATAAAAGTGTAAATCAATTGAGCATGGATAAGATTATTTTTAAATAATTAAAAATAAATTTTGACAATATATACGAACGAAATGATTGATTATAATAATTTATTTAGAAATGTTAAATATATTAATTTTCACTTTGGTGAGATTGAAATTTTACTTTCTCGTAACTTCATGAATAGTCGTCATTAAATTCAGAATTAATTGACATTGTACGTCATTTTCTTTTGAAATTTTCGACGATGAATAAGATCACCGAGATGCAAAATAATTATGCTAAAGTGTTCGCATAATAATTAACGATTGAAATAAAATGATATTTAAAATACGATTATAAATATTATCATTTTGTAAAAATATAAATTAATAATATAACGATTTGATTCTCGCATAGATGATAATTTTTCGAATGAATTAGAACGATTGATCATAATAATTTATAGAAATGATTAATGATATATCAATTATCGTATGATGTAATTGAACTTTCACTAGTTCATAACTTAATGTATTATCATCATTAAATTGGTCATTCGCGTACAACTAATTAATTACTTAAACTAACATAGCACTGATAACATCGGATGATTCACTCGGACCTCGTTACTCGGTACACATTGGAATATCTCTACTGAATTCTAATTCGATTTCGGAGTACGATCTAATTGCATTGAGAATCCGACAAGTGTATCGAAGTTACCGGTCTATTCTAAGAAGATAACTCAAGTCGATTTTGTTCGATCCTCCTAATTATTACATGTAAATTCGTTATACTTAATTAAATTTCCCGAGGAATTTTTTTTTCTTCCTTAGTGTCTCGCAAAAAAAAAATTCACGTCTAACGATTGGATTGATCTCGTTTCATTGAAAATTAATATCGAAACTAATGAGAGACAAAGAGAGAGAGAGAGAGAGAGAGAGAGAGAGAGAGAGAAAAGAAACAAACAATAATAGTGACCAATAAAAGAAGAAATAGTGTGAAAAGCCATTGGAAGATTTTAAGCTGAGCAAAGAGTTGAAAAAACTTACGCGAGTTCATGAAAAATCGTCAGAGCGTGACTCCACGTATATTTACTGTATAAATTTAGGA